TGTGTGTGTGTGTGTGTGTGTGTGTGTGTGTGTGTGTGTGTGTGTGTTTGTCTCGTCTCGTGTGTACGTGTGTCTTTGATCTCTCTCTGTTTTTCTCTTCTTTACGCAATAAATGTCTCCCTCTTCTTTAAATAATACTATGTCCTATGAGCCTTTTATCTGCCGTAACCGCCCGCCTGACTCCCCCCCGGCCGCATGGCGCTGCAGGGACTCACGGCCATCCTTGTCGGACTCTGCGAGCCGCCAGGAAATCCCATCATGGTATTCTTTTTAAAAGTACAAAAGTCCACATCTGTGAACCCCAACTTGTCCCTTTCTGATTTGCTATACCTTTGCCTTACCCTACCCTCCACAGCCACACCCCTTACACATGGGGCCGCCTCCTGCACGCAAAGTCCTGCCCCTCACTGGAGCCCACAAGAGCTGCAACCTCCCATACCCAAGCCCTGCCCCCATCAAGGCACCAACCCACCACAGAATGCTCCGCCCTCACTGTGATTTCTGCCGCACTTGCAAGAGTCTAACAACCCTTACACGCATGCGCACAACATTCAGCCAATCAAAGAGGTTCCTGGTTGAATCTTCTCCTATTTAAGGTCAGTTACCCCAGAAGCTCCTCGTAGTAGTGAAGCGGAGCAGTGAAGCAGAGCAGTTGGCTGAAGGAGATCAGAGTCGTGAGTGTGATCACTTCTTGTGACGGTAAGCCTGGTTCAGCCAAAGTGGGGTTAGTTCAGGCAGGAGGAAGGGATGAGTGTGAGGAGGAAGGAGTGTGAGAGTGAAGGATTATAAGGAAGGGGGGAGTGTGTCCCGTAGAGGGAGGCTTGGGTCCCACGCGCCATTTTACTTGTACGGCAAATCACCCATCGGCATTACCGGGGCCTCTGATAGTAAAATGGAGGAGGTGCGAACCTCGTTGGGGCCTCTGATAGTAAAGTGGAGGAAGTGTGAACCTCGTCAGGACCTCTGATAGTAAAATGGAGGAGGTGCGAATCTCGTTGGGGCCTCTGATAGTAAAGTGGAGGAGGTGTGAACCTCGTCAGGGCCTCTGATAGTAAAATGGAGGAGGTGGGGCCTCTGATAGTAAAATGGAGGAGGTGTGAACGTCATACGGGTCTTTGATAGTAAAATGGAGGAGGTATGAACTTCGTCTGGGCCTCCAGCAGTAAAACGGAGGAGGTGTGAACCTCGGGCGGGGCCTCTGATAGTAAAATGGAGGAGGCGTGAATCTTGTCGAGGTCTCTCTGACAGTAAAATGGAGGAGGTGCAAACATCGTTGGGGCCTCTGATAGTAAAATGGAGGAGGTGCGAACCTTGTATAGGGCCTCTGAGAGTAAAATGGAGGATGTACGAACCTCATAGAGGGCCTCTGATATTAAAATGGAGGAGGTGCGAACCTCTTTGGCACCTCTGATAATAAAATGGAGGAGGCCGGTTCCGAGGCCTTTGGCAGTAAAATGGAGGTGACCTGAAACCTCTTTGGGGCTTCTGGCAGTAAAATGGAGGTGACTGCGAACGAGGCCACTGAATAGTAAAATGGAGGTGGCCGAGGCTGGGAACCTCATTGAGGCCTCTGATAGTAAAACAGAGAGGTTCCTTGCCTCAAGCAGACTAAAGCCTAAGTGGAAGGTAGGAATGCTTAGAGGATCAGGAAGTCTCTGCTGTCATTGTGGAGGTGGCAACTCCGATCAGAGGGTGGAAAGGCAGAGGGGCATGGGGCCTAGGAATAAGGACAAGCTAGAGTGAGAATGAAAATACAGGGAAGGGCTGGAGGCCAGTTGGCACTTGGGGCTAAAGGTGAGGAGGAACCAGGGAAGTGATTAGGAGGAAGGAGGAAATTGGGCATGAGGAGAAGCTGAGGAGGCCTGAGAAGCTAGAAAGAAATACATAGTGAGGAGGATTTGGGGAGCAGAAAGGAGAGGCTGGCTGCCCAAACTGGGGAGGGTCCAGGGGTAAGGAGAGCCGGATATGAGTTGAAGCTAGGAAGGAGATAGTGGTGGGGGTGAAGTTGACAGGGCCTGGAGTGAAGAGCTGGGCAAATGGAGAAAAACAAGGAGGAACTAGATGTTGGGTAGGAGATACTAGCAGAGCATGGGATGAGGAATAACTGGAGAGGGACTAGAAACAAGGGGCCAGCTATTGGTGGTTAGGAGGAGCTGGGAGGCTAGGAGGAGCTGGGGAGAAGCTATGGGTAAGGAAGAGCTGGGGGAAAGCTAGGAGCAAGGATGAACTCTGATGTGAGGATGATCTTGGGAAGGACTCTAGGTGAGAAGATGCTGAGGAAGGTTGGGGAACCAGGAGGAAATGGGATGAGGAGGGACTTGGGGAGTTGAAGCTAGGGAGGGGCTAGGGGTCAGGATCTGGGGAGGTCTTGGGGATTAGAAAGTGCTAGATAGTGGTTGTCAAGGAGGAGGACCTAAGTAGGGAATAAGGACAAGGAGGAGCATGGGAGGGGCTGGGGGAAGCGGACAGAAGAAAAGAAGAACTGGGGGTGAAGAAGAGCCAAGGAGAGGTTACTGGAGAGGAGTTACGGATGAGGAAGAACTGGGAAGTGTATGAGGTGAGGTAGAACTGGGGAGAGGGGAGAGGTAAGAAAGATTTAGAGGGTTAGGAGGAGCTTGTAAGTTATGAGAGCTGGGAAAAGGTTAGCAGGGATGGAGTCTCTTGGGGAGGGGCTTAGGAGAAGGAGAACATGAAGGGCAATGACAAGCTAGACCGACTATGAAGTATTAGTCCTTAGTAGTATTGGAGAGGGATTAAGGGACTGAAAAGCATGTAGGAGCTAGAGTCAAGGAGGAACTCAGTGTGAGAAAAGAGCTCTAGGGGCAAAGAGGGAGTAAGGGGGCGGGGTGTTAAGAGTTAGGGGGCTAAGGAACAGCAAGAGGCCCAGGGAAACAGAGGTTTCTAGGACCCTGATAGGGCTAGGAGCTGGCATGGTGAAGAGGGAATAGGGTCCTCAGTAGGATCTGAAAGGCCGGGAATGTTCTGAGGGCTATCTCTATACTTCTGGGGTCAGCCTCAAATGCATTAGAAACAACCCGAGTGCCCTTCACCTTTTCCACAATTGTGTATCATTTTTACATTGACAACTGCCATTTTTCTAACTTTGGATGCAGTAAAGTAAGAAAACTGTTAACACTTTATTTAAATAAGAACATCTTGATTTCTATGAAAGCTTTCTCAGTTTATTTAAATAATGCCTTTGGATTCAGTTGTTTTGGGAGATTTGTTTTTCTTCTTGTGTTTTCAAACAGAAAATATACAGTTATGTTTCCCCATGCAAGAAGGGATCCGGAAGAGCCCAAAGGGCCTGAAAGCATGCAAGCGGTGGGAGAGCACGTAGTAATTTATAACTCAGACGACGAAGAACCAGATTGCTGTGTTTCACTGAGTAATACTCAAGGTATAAAATGTCAAACTGGCTCAGGGAGTAAAAGTGTTTACCATGCAAGCAGGAGGACCTGAGTTTGATTCCCAGAACCCTCACAATAGAAGGAAGGAAAGAAATCTACTCCAGAAAGCTGTTCTCTGATCTCCACACTGACATGTGTATACTAATAATAATGTAAAAAAGATTTAAAGGCATCGAATGTCGAGTGTTGATATCTTACTCCAGTTCTTTTGCTTTGAATCTAATACAATTTGTTAGTTCATTCTGTGTACTTTACTCTCCATATCCCTATACCTAAATTCTAGAAATCCATGTAGTGTATCTTGCCTTTGAAGTCCTAACATGTTAATCGATAAATAGCTTGCTATGTGATCTTATCCTAGAAAGACTTCAAAATTTGTTCCTACACATGGTCATAAATCATGATTTAACTTCATCTAACCTTCAAAGAAAAATTTGTATTTCTATATCTAATACAAAAGCTTAAGTTGTCAATGTCTGAAAGAACTGCAAACAGTTTTATTGCTGCTTGTTAAAATAGTGTTCTTAATTTCAAAAATATTTTTTTTCTTGTCAGCAGAACAGAGTTCATCAAGTGATTCACCTGGAAAGAGAAGTCCCATAGAACTGTTTGTAGATGTGGGGTAATATATTAAAAATTGTTTGACTGTTGAATAATGTATTTCAAGAAATATTTGCTTTGTTTATGTAACAGGTAATATATATAAGATACTTGACATTAGCTATTTTTTCCAAACTGTTATATCTTATGAATCCTTAACGAAACAGTGTTTGTCATTGTATTTGCTATTTAATAGGGGAGTTTGTGAATGCTTGAAAAATGCTCTTTTACTGAACTACACTGCCATTTTTAAAATGTGATTTTTTTCTTAGGGAAAAAGTAGAGGTTATTCTTGGAAGAATTGGAGGTATGTTTTGAAGATACTTACTTTTTTAGAAAATTATTTAAAACTACATAATAATTTCCATATAATGTGTTAACCAGTATATTACTTGCCTACTCTTCAATGCTTTGTTCTCATTTATAAGATTTTCATAAATATTTGTGATTTAGCATCATATATATTCTTCCTTATAGTTTTCCATGATGAGAGAAGTAAAAATAATGCTTTTAGACATATGTGATTTCAATGGATTTTTGGAAGAAGAAAATAGGAAAAGTTTTCATACTTTTTGAACAGATTAAGTGATCTACTATTTCTATATATCAGTTTCTTTTACATCAGTTTCTTTTACTCTGTATATCAGTTTTCTTTTTAAAAAATTCATTTTATTTCCTAGGATTTATACTGTATTCCTTTCTTTAGAGTAGACAGTATAAAATTGAAACTGTTTTCATTCTAATAAATTATAATCTAAGAAGAAAATTAGATAACCAATAGAGGTTTAAAATCTGAACCCTAAAACCTTGTTTTAAGAAGTTTGTTAAGGGTCAGTTACATGGGCTTTCTTGGAGAGAATATTCACTTTTGCTTGTTTACTCGTTTGTTTTGAGATCATCTCATAGAGAACACAGACTGACATTAACATTGTAGATCACCTAACAACCTCACAGGTGCTGGGATTAGGGACAGACAAACCCAACCAAGGACAGTATTATTTTAAGAATTAATAGGGGATGGAGAAATAGTTCAATGGTTAAGATTACTGGCATCTTCCAAAGGAATCCAGTTTGATTTCCAACACCTTTATGGTGGCTCACAATCATCTATATGTAACTCCAGTCCAAGGGGATTCAGTGCTGCCTTTCGGCCTCAGTGGGAACGAGGCTCATGGTACACAGACCTAGCCAGATGAAAGCAAAATGTCCCCATTCATATATACTTACAAAACAGTTGAAATTAGGCTTCTTTAAGGATTACTCATATAATCAGCTTTTTTGAAAGATGTTCTCTATTTAGTGGTTTACATATTTAGTGGTATACATGTTTTATAATTTGTTGCTTCATATGTGTATTAGCTGCTGAAATTGTCTCTTTCATATATGTGTTGTATGAAAAAAATTTAGCTACTAAAATTATAAATTATTTATATAGAAATTTCTTAAGGTTATTAAAAGTAACTGACAAGAATTTTTTTCCTTATTGAGATACAGTCTCACTATGTAGCTCTAGACGGCCTGGAAATTGGTATGTAGGCCAGGCTGGCCACAAATTCACAGAGATCTGTGTGCCTTTGCCTCTCCAGTGCTGGAATTAGTAGTGGTGCACTGCCAGTTTTTTTTTCTACCACAGGATATTTGAAACTTAAATTTTTTATGAACTGTTTGCTGTATGTAGTGGTAAAAATGCCCTATAAATGCTTAATGAAATGTAAATAATAACCAAAGCATACAAAACAAGATATGCTAGGCAAGTGCTTAAGCTGAACTACATCCCCAGATTCTCATTCACTCTTTTTTACCAATAATTTTAACAAATTAACTTTTTTAGGTTATATTTTTAATAAGCAATTTTATTTCATGCTCTCTAACAAGAATTCAGGCAAATGCACGCTTCCAGTATAGAGTGTTTTATAAATTTTAGAAGTAGTTAGCGTTTATTTAATTATTTTTCATAAATTCTACACTCCCCCTTTGCTTTGTTTATTAGTTCATTTTTGTCATCTCTAAAAACATCTTCAGTTAGGAAAATCCTAATTACCATATGGTTATTCAAAATGATTAGGACCAGAAATGTTTCACATTTCAAAGTTTTGGATTTGGAATGTTTTCATAGAAATTGCTGACTGTGAACAGGCCTAGTCAGAAAATCTAAAATCCTAGGTGTTCAAACTATGAAAGCTATATCATGTTGACACTATAGTTTTAAATGTTAAATGTTTGTTATTGATGAGTGAGCATTATCAGAATTTATAATTACTTGAATGTATGAGAACAGAGTAATTTCTTCAGCATTGAATTCTAATGAACATTTTTTAAAATACAGTTGACATTAACCGTACTCTTACTGCTAAGAGACTAAGACTGGAAACAAATACTCAGAAGTCTTTTGAAGGAATTGACCAGAAAATGGAACAAGTTTGGAACTCACATGAAGATGCTGTGTAAGTTTTTTTTCTTTCCTAAAACCAACCAACCAAACAAACAAACAAACAAAACCCCTGTTTGTACCAATTTTTAATATATGTTGATGTAGATCACTTAAGAAAAAGTTGTCATTTTCCGCTTGAGTCTCTAGTGAAAATATTTGACTTTTCTCTAGGCAGGTGCCTCCATAACCTCCTATCTTTATAGTGTTGCTTCACAGAAGCCAATGAAGATTATGTTTTTCTCCTTTAAATAACAATTGAGGAGGTTTATTACCTTTTTGGTATTTTATTATTCACTCCTGAAATTAGTTGAATAAAGTTTAGATGAGTAGAATCTAATAACTGTTATTTAACCATAGCTGATGGTGTAGAGAGAGGTCAATTTGAATATGCTAAGCACTTAGCTCTTGGTTTATACTAGATTGTGGCTCTGCCAAAATGGGGAGTGGGAAACTTAGTGAAATGTTTTGCATGAAAATCATTTAGTATTCTTAAGACTCTATATTAAGTGAAAAAATGAAAAATAAACTTTTTGGAGAAAATATTATTTTGAAAATAGATATATGTATGATAAAATTTCCAGTTTTCAAAACTCCCCATGAGAGAGAACTTCTTATGTTAGGAAAAAATACTTCTGGAATCAATATAAATCTAATTTTACTTCTGAGTTTTCCATCAGAATATTTAAACTGCTATTATTTCCTTTTTACACTATGATAGTGTATCAATTCAATGTTGTTACTTTCCTACTAGTATAAGAAGTAACACCGTTCATTGTTATGTTTTACAGGGTAGAGCTTAACGAAGAGTTTGCTCAGGCATTTGCGAATCTGTTTGAGCAATGGAATTCGGATTTTCAGAACTTGCGGGAAAAATATGTAAAACTAATGGTTGGTATCACAATTCTAATTAATATGAAGAGAGAAGCTATTCTTGTGTTAGTTGCATAAAACAAACCTGGGTTTGTTTAGAGACTGAAATTTCCAAGAATAAATTATGCCTTGAAAATGATTTTGTACCTCATCTGGCCTGTAATTTTAGGAAGCTAATGAAGAAGGTTCATAACATGTTGGTGTTTAGAGAATAATTTAAACAGGCATAATGGTTATTAAAAAATAATAAAGGCAGTCATTTTAAAATGTTTTTTCTGAGTTTAAAATAGATTTTTTTTAAATTTAAAGTTTTAGAGATTAAGCTTTGGCTCAAAAGGACATTGTTTGCCTTGCATGTATGAGGCCCAGAACAACCAACCATTACTAAACTGTTAATACAGTTTTTCCTTTTGTATTTGTAGAATGATTTTCAACAGGAAGAAAAGGCTTTTCAACAGTGTAGACTCGTTCAGAGCAAGAGACTGAAAACAATTAAACAAGTACATGAACAGTTCATAAAGGTATGTTATCCACGATAACAACGTGTTCCAAAAAATATAATGTACATTTTCCTTACCAGAATAAGGGAACTTCCATTTTGAATGAATTGTTTTTAATTGATGTGGGATAGCTTTAGAATTCTAATGGTTTTATGGTGATTATTTCAGATAGAAGATGACAAATTGTGAATGTCCATAGAGATATGCTTCACATGTATTAATAGTCATACTTCAAGTATATTCATGTTCTTTATTGAACTGGAAAGAGAAAGTCTACATATCATTTCTATGATCTTTGTAATTCTCGTGTATATTAAATAGGAAAGGCTCAAAATACATTTTTTTAAAGATCTAGTGCAAAGGATCTCCTGTAACTGGAGTTACAGAAAGTTGAGAGCTGCCTTGTGGGTACTGGTCATCAAATCCAGGTCCTCTGTGAGAGCAGCCAGTGCTGTTACCTACTGGGTCATCTCTCCAGCCCCGGGAAGGACCCAAGTTAAATTAAACCTTGGCTTGAAACTTAGTAGGGAAGTATTATCTAGCATGTCAATTTTTAAAATTGTTCAAATGGCTAAAATAACTTTATCAACTTATAACCATTATCCTAGAATTTAATAGTCAAAGATTACAAGTTGGTCCTTGAGAATTAAGTATATGCTAGTAAGCTGATGTATAAATAATAGTTTTAAAATATTTTAAGGAACCTTAAAATAATTTTTGGACAAAAGTTATTTTATGTGTTTCCAAACGCAGCTCTTGCCAGTTTGCTCTAATATTCCCTGAAACTAGTTTCAAATTTCTCCATAGCCCATGTCTTCACTACTAGACTTTGACCATTTTCATTTCCATAGTGCTTCATTATTCATTTAAGTCCTATTGCTGAGATCCTAGCTAATACTATTTAATATTCTCATCATTCTTTGCTTCTACTATGAAAACTGTTTGCTCTGTTCTTCAATTCATCCTTCATAGTTCTTTCTACATATGTGTAATAAATTATATACATACATACATACATGCATACATGCATACATATATTTGGCTTTTCCAGACAGGGTTTTTCTGTATAACTGTCTTAGCTGTCCTGGAACTCACTCTGTAGACCAGGCTGACCTCAAACTGACAGAGATCTGCCTACTTCTGCTTCCTGAGTGCTGGGATTAAAGGCGTGGGCCACCACCGCCCGACCGCTATGTTATATTTTAAAAACATATTTGGTTAAAATGTTGGGGTTTTTTTCTGGAAAAAGGAGCAATTATGCATTATCCTCTTTTGTTTTCTCCACAGCACTTAACATTATATTTGTCACTTGGTTGGTGATGATTAGGTAATGATTGGCAAATGATTAGGAAAGATTTAAACCATCATTTTTAAATGATCAGCACATTCATACAATATTAGTGCTAAAGACAGATGAATAAACAGTTGGAGGGTAGCCTTGTCACTAAAGTGAGATACTCTCTTACAAAACAATAATATAAATTTTGCTATTAATGACTTGAAAAATGATCTCATACTACAGATTATTTTTCCCTTTGGTAAATTTATTGTCTCATCACGCTACATTGACTTTTTATCTTAAGTAGATTGTAGCCTGATGTTTGAGAAAATCATTAGAAATGTTCGCAGTTGTGATGGTTGCTGAGAAGACTCTGTGGTCTTCCTATTTCTCTATTTTTCATTTTCTTTTTTTTTTGGAAGAGAAAGTATCTATATTCCACACGTTAGCCTTCATGCTCTCCTAGTGGTACCTGCAAAGTTTGTGATACTGTGCCCAACTTTTGCCCTCTCCGGCCTCAGCCTGATCTTAACATTCACTAAAACTGCTTCGTGAGCACAATGTGCCATTGTATCTTCTATAACTCTGTTTGGTTGATGTCTGAGTTATTTTGCGTCTTAACAGTAGTAATTTGGGTCTTCGTGTATTACAAGGGTTTTTTTTTTTTCCTCGAAGTAATGTGTATTACTAAAATATTTAAAATTCTCTTGAAATTTTATTTTAAAACGTAGAACTTGGGATGAAAGATGCAAGGGACTAAACTAACCTTTTGTGTTTAGAATTTGGAGGAGGTAGAGAAGAAGAACGACTGTCTGCTTATGAATATCCAGAATGAACTTAAAGAAGAAATGAACACGCTGCAAAGAAAAATTATAAAAGAATCTGTAAGTTGTATTTCAAATCATAAATAGGAATTAATACAAGCACTGAAATATTTTATTTCCTACTGTAGGAATGACACTGAAGTGAGAAATAAACCTGTTTACTCTCTCTTTTTCTTAACAGCGTCAGCAAGAGATGGTTGCCCTTCACCAGTCTGTCCAGTCCATGCTGCGTCCTAAGGGATGCGGTTCAGATGCTAGCAAATAGTCGTAGTTTAAGATAAATTCTAGTTTATATGGCAAGGTCTTTAGTCATTAGCTTGTTCACCTTGTCTTACATTATTTTGAATAAAATCCAGTTATGTCAGTATCAACTATTCTTGTATGTCAAGGCTTTAACTCTTTTGTAATAGTAGAGTGGATTTTTCTTTATGTCATTGTTAATTTTTTTCAATAAAGATGATTTGTTTGGATATTGACTTTAGTATTTAGTGTATCAGACCCAAAGGTACAAACGTCAGGTATAGAAAGGTACCTTGGCTTTATTTCATATCTTTTTCTGACAGGATCTTACCATGATTGCCATGATGGTGTCTAATACTGAACTAAAAAATAAACTTGGTTTATAAGCTCAGGTAGTCCTTGCATCTCAGCCTCCAAAGTACCTGAGACAACAGGTGGGCACCACTATGCGTAGTTTGCATTGTTATTTAAGGGAAAAAAACCCCTCCAATCCATTTTCCATACTTAACTGAATTGCATAGCTCATTCTAAGAAAATGTGTTAAAGAGCTTGCATTAGTATCTTGAAATTAAACAGTTAATACATCGATCAAGCTGACAATTTATACTAGGTTTGGTTTTGTTTGTTGAGACAAGATCTTGTCATGCAGCCTTGCCTGGCCTGCAACTTGGTATATAGACCAGGTTGGCCTTAAATTCATAGATTCGACTATCTGTGCTTCCCAGGTGCTGGAATTAAAGGCATGTACCTCAGCATGCCCTACCTACATACTAGTTTTAAGACATTCAAGAATTTCATTTCCACAGGGTATCAAATTCATTGGGATTGGTCTGCAGTTAAATAATACATGTCCTTAGTAATATGTTGGAGTATATTATGAGGGCAGGGCCTGGTGGTGCACGCTTTTACTCTCAGCACTTTCTCAGGAGGCAGAGCATGCTGATTTCTGGGAATTTGAGCCAGCTTGATCTACTTAAAGCCATTTTCAGGCTATCCGGGACTACAGAGTAAAACTCTGTCTAAAAAAAAAAAAAAAATGTATCATTACTTTTCATTGTTGAAGGATGTTATACTTTTCTTCAAAGATAGAGTTCCTAGAATGACACTGAATACTAATGTTAGCAAATGTTTGGAAGACTTGTTTACTTGTTTTAGACTCATCATCAAACAAATATTTTAATAACTTGCCTTTTTCAATGTGTATTTTATGCTGTGCTGTGGTGGCACACATGTTTACCCCCAGCTCTCAAGAGAGCGAGCCAGGTAAATCTCTGACTTTGAGTCCAGCCTGGTCTACAGAGCAAGTTCTAGGACAACCAGAGATACACAGGGAAACCCTGTCTTGAAAAACCAAGTGCATTTTTAAAGAGAAGCATAAAAAAGTGCGATTTAATAAATTCGAAATTTTAGATATGATTAAACATATGTTTAGACAAAAACCCATTAGAGGAAAAGCAAAAGTTCTTTTTCATGTTTATTTTTTCCTATATAATCCCTTAAAGTGACTGTTCTCCAACTTAAAAAAGACAGACATGTATATAAACCAGCTTTTTTCAAACTAGTATAATTTATATTGGAAAAATTAGTCTTTGACCATTAGTGCATAATTAGATTAAGAGGGCAGTTTAATTCCTTTTTTTTCTGTAGTGCTGGGATCCCTCCAATGCCTTGCCTCCCTCTTGTTACTGGAGGGAATCTCTCAGGTCATCCATGACACAAAGGCCAGGTTCTTTCCATCTCTAACGAAGATTTCAGCAAGACATACGGCAGTAATAATTAAAGTCTAGATTTATTCGAAGTACAAATAAAGGCATAAAATATGCTGCTCAGAACAGAAATGAGTGTGTGGCTCAAGAAACCCATTTACGCGTCCAAGTGCTTTGTATTACAGAGGGAAAGTAAAGATTCTCTGAGACGGTGGACCCTTTGTTGACTATTTAGGTGATTAATGTTCTTTGCTAGAAAGCTTCCCCCCCCCACACAATCCTTATGGCAGTCGAATGGATTTTTTTTTCAGTTACTGTAGTCTTATGACTCACAGTCATGTGTGTCTGACCCTATTTTCCTGCCTCATTTTTCATTGCTATATTTCCATCATGAGATAGGAATCTTAAATACTCATAGGATTTCTAAGGAGGTCTTTATTTCTCAAATTTTACCCATAGTTACAGAAGGGAAATAAGTACTTCAGAGTGTTTTCTGGGTATCTAATCTACATGAGTTTGTTCTTCCTCATAAGGCATGATATCTTTCTTCACCATGCCTCTTCCCTGCATATATAAAGTGCATGCTTGCTACTCTCCTAGTTTATCAACTTACCATGGCATATGGTAGGTAGTCCATGGCTTTGAAAATGCTTTTTTCAGTAAGGCCACCTTCCTCTTTTCCTCTCTGTGTTTTCTTAAATGCTATGTCCCTACCATACCCCTCCTGTGACAAATGTATTTATCAGGATACTTGTTCATAAGTCTGACAAAATTTTTGAGTAAGTTCTGCAAAATTCTGGATTTCTCCTATGTTTAAAGATGGAGGAAAAAGGTGCTCAAAGTCTTAGTTAATCATTTCAGGACGTTGTTCCCAGGTAGGTAATAAGGTCTTCCCCAAATGAACCCTAAGACAGTTGGGTTGAGTGGTAGTGACATTCCTGTATGGAATAAGAGTATGTTGGAGACACTGAATAAGCTTTTGTGTGTGACTGCTGAATAGTTTAGTGCAAGAATGAAGTCAGGTTTATGGTAATGCCACCACGTAAATGATCAGTTGTTATCTGTGTAACCAAACATTAAGTCTTAAATTTCCAAACCATTCAAAATAGAAATTTAGGGAGTAGCTAAATAAAGGGACACATATTATGTAGTACATTCTCCTGGTTGAGGATATAGATGAAAATAACCTGAGTAGGACTAGCCTAAAGCCAAATAGAACACTCATTCACTAACCTAATAAATAGGATACACAAATTTCCAGCATGCACAGAAGAGCAGAAATCATTTCAGCTGAGGAGTATAATATGCCTATTGTCCACATAACACTTTAAAACTATTTTTATTATTTGCACATTTCCTACAGTGCATTTGGATTATATTCACCACCACTGTTTCCCCTACTGCCTCTCAGATCCACCCCCATACCCATACTCCCCACAACTTCATACTCTCTCTATTTTTTTTTTTTTGAGACAGGGTTTCTCTGTAACTTTGGAGCCTGTCCTGGAACTAGCTCTTGTAGACCAGGTTGGCCTCCAACTCACAGAGATCCACCTGCCTCTGCCTACCGAGTGCTGAGATTAAAGGCGTGCTCCACCACGGCCAGGCCTCATACTCTCTCTATTTTAAATAGCTAGTTGATTCCAGTTTGTGCAGCCCATATATTTCTGGGTGTAGGGCCTCTCATTGAAACCTGCTTGCCCTACCAGGGGCCACATCACTTTGCTGTGATTTCTACGAGGTTTAGGGTTGCTTAAAAAATGATGATAATCTCACTTTTCTGTGCTTCCCCTTGCCTTCCTTTCCTATGTTATGGCTCCTGGGGTCAGGACCAAAAAAGACAATGGCATGAGCCACGTTCCATTACAACTTGGTCATGCATGCTTTTGATATTATTCCAATACCTAGATCACTGTGTGATAAGTATCACAGTTACTAAGAATTTGCATAAGATTAAAGCAGTTCACTCTTGTGTCTTTAATTATACAATGACTGTGAGAAGTGCTATAGTAGTAATTTCTTGTTGGAACCACCAGCTCACAAATAATGACACAGAGACTTACTAGTTATGAAAGGTTGGCCTTTAGCTTAGGCTTGTTTCTACTTAGCTCTGTTTGGTTGTCGTGTGTGTGTGTGTGTGTGTGTGTGTGTGTGTTTGTGTGTGTGTTGAGACAGTTTCTCATAGCTTTGGAGCCTGTCCTGGAACTCACTCTGTGGACACAGCTGACCTCGAACGAGTTTTGTCTGCCTCTGCCTCCCGAGTGCCGGATTAAAGGCATGCGCCACCACTGCCTGGCTCCATCTACCTCTTATAACTTAATTAACCCATATTTTTTAATCTCCATTCTGCCAAGTGACTTTTTATTTTTTCTCAGTATGGCACATCTGGCTTTCCCCAAGTCTGCTGGAGAAATCTGAGCATCAAATTCCTCCTGATTTTCTCCCTCTGCCAGGAAGTCCTGTCTATCCTCTCCTGCCTAGCTATTGACCATTTAGCTTTTTATCAAACCAATCAATAGGTGCCTCAGGCAGACACACATCTTTACAGTGTACCAAAAGATTATCCCACAACAGTGCTAACTAGAAATGTAAGGGAAAAAAATCATCATCAAACTTACTCAGGGCCAGTAGCATAGGGTAGAAAGTTGACTCTTAGGACAGAGTTAGAGCTCACCATTACCCAGTGACACCACACGTTGATACATACCTCACAATAATACAGTCAACTTGGATTGGCTGTTAAGAAAAATCGAGGAATCTCATGGGGTAAACCTGTGGAATCTCGGTAACATCCTCTAGCTTGAGAAGGCCTTGTCCCCGTCCTTCATGGTGCTTTGGATTTGTTCCATTGCTCATCTGTACAAAGGCTTCACCTCTCCCACAAAGAAGATCGTGGAAGCTGATTCACACCCCATACAGCAATGTTTTTGTTTCAAAATGCCCAGCAACTAAACAGCTGATAACATACAGAACATTTCATTCCTGGAGACTGAACGGCAAATTAACCACAGGTAAACAGGAATGCTGCTCAGACAACTCATTTATTAAAGTTAGCAAGATGCCGTCTGCCTCGGCTATCAGGCACAGCCAAGAAGCTGTGGATACACAAAAACCCTGTATATACAAATCTCGCGTTCTAACATGGAAGAATGGGTTCCACTAGATAGGTATTAAATTTAACAAACTGGATAGGTACTGGGAAATGAAAAATGCTATGGAAAAAGTAAACATTGTATGCAGTACAAGGGGACTCAGAATTGAAGGCATCTGTGTCTTTACATTATACACTTCCGCTTGCTGGGCTCCCTCTGAATGTTGCTCAAGGGACAAAAAAGGCCACTAGCAGCACAATACATTCCTGACCATGGAAAACAAAGAATTTGACTTAAAATGAAGTGTTGTTCTTTTGCTACAGACTAAAGTCAGTTTGGGGATGTCTCTGAATAGATCAAGCACCTTCC